TATATACATATGTATGTATGTATGTATATATTGATGGGAATATGTACATATACATATACTTACACACAGATATATACGTAACCGAATACATAAAATCAAATTGATATAGACTTATAAATACACACATACTTATAAATACACACATACATGAACACATAGATAATGCAAACACAAATGCAAACATACACACAAGTATCAAACATACACACATATATACACAAACATAAATTCATAATACCTAATACATACATGTGAGTGTGAATGTGAATGTGAATGTGAATGTGAATGTGAATGTGAATGTGAATGTGAATGTGAATGTGAATGTGAATGTGAATGTGAGCGTGAGCGTGAGTGTGAGCAAGAATGTATGAGTTAGAGTGTATGAGTATGAATGTGAGTGTAGGTGCGAGTGTGAGTGTGGGTGTGAGTGAGTGAGAGCGTGTACGAGTGTGTATTTTATGGTGATATGGCTATTAGGGCGTGTAATATTGAATTCAGTCCGTACTGGTGGCTGAGAAATATTATACTATTTACATAGTACTTTTAGTCTGAATATGAACAAATTAATTACCCCTATGATTATAGCGATTTATCTTCTTTTGTCAAATTAGCAAAGTCTGGCTCTCCGCTTATTTCGTATACATCTGTTACTGGTCAGATTGCGATTCGAGCTGTTCTAGTCCAGTCATGTTCACGCTGTTGATATATGCCATAGTTGTTCTAACTAATACATATTGTACTTTCCTATGCCTCTCCAGGACATCGCCGCTCAACAGGCGGCAGTGCAAAATTACAACCGCACATTCCTAGGCCAAGTGGGTATATTCCTGAAACTTTGTTTACTGATGTACGTCTTCGGCCGGGAGGCTACCACCAAGAAGCAGATCATGCTGACGATTTCCGCATTTATAGTCTTTCTGTAAGTGCTTGATGCACTGTGGCATATCGCGTATCTGCATCTATGAGATCATGCAATATATCTTTCCTTGGCACTATAGCTCAGGAATAATATGTTGTCTGGAGGCCACGGGTTCTGTTGCTTTTTTAATAGGCAGTGAGAGGCAATCATCCCGGTTTGGTCGAAGTGTGTTGGTATGAACAATGAAAAACTGAGCCCTCAGCCCGTGATGTCAGTGCGAGTGTACATAGGATCTATGCGAATAGTGCGAAGCTTGCCGGGTGACAGGTTGCATGTGTCAGGCATTTGCTTTCAAAAGTTCTTTAGCCTATTCATGATACCGTAATTATTTTGTGATATGCGGGGGCGTATGCTTCCGGATTTATATTTCGTTGATGCACGACAATATTAATTTGTGCAAGTTCGGACGGCTTGTAGTTATTTTATCGTTTTGAAACTTGACCTTTCACTTCATAGAAGTACATATCGAACGAGGAGTTTGTATTTGTGCGATATTGTGAAATAGTCATCATATAGTAAACTTTTTTCTACATTGTTTCGAACATGTTTGACTCAATTCTGATATATAAAAACGTCTAAATACTAACAGATATCAAACGGGGAGGTTAGACTTCATCATCACCACATTCCGACCGCCTCCTCCAGCCGTTCCCACCACTACAGCACCTGCACCTGCACCCGAACCCGCATCTGCTAGCGATGATCACACCGAAGGCAATACAGACGGGGCTTCTTCGTCAAGTTCTACCGACAGCAGTAGTAGCGGCGGTGATAGTAGTGAAAAGGTACGTGAAGTGTATTCGTTGTAGGTTTTAGGAACGCATTTGTGTATCCTTTTCGCCAGTGCAAGCTTGGTAGTCCTCGATCGAAGAAGTCGCTGGTGCCATGATTGTACACATAAATTTTCATACACATCCACTGTACTGGTGTAGTTGAATTGTATCGCTGCAGCTTCTCAATAATTATGTTTGTTCGGGGTTCTTGATGTCATCTACAGGGAAAGGCGAAGTCAGAAAGAGCTACATCTACTCAACATCCGCTCAGCCGACAAAACTCGCCGACTGTACAGACTTCAGAGCTCTCAACAGGTAGGGCAGAAGATATTCTTGCTGGCAGCGATACTCCAGATAGCACACAGACTGAGGCTGCAGCCGTAGTAGAACCTCGACCGTCGCTACTGCACGAGATCGAAACGTTTCTCTTCAATTTCGTATCGTCTCTATTACCGTCCGCACAAGCGGATGGGAATGCCATCCCGCCCGAGGTGGAAGATAATGGGCCAGCTGGCAATATATTTGGTTAGTGACAGTTGACACTAGAATGAAGAAAACTATACAAAATCTAGTAAATCACTTCAAGGAATCAATAAAGGGGCAGCTACTTCCCACTCGTTACCGTTCTTCATATATTCGTATCCTATTTTGCGTTATGAACCTATATTATTTCACTCTTAAAATCAAGTACATGAGAAATCAATTGATACGGCAGAAGTTTATTTTTTTGGTAGATGTTTTGGTAGATAATGTCTAAGATGACAGGAATGCCAGTTACAGCGCGCACTGAGCAATCAGATGATGTGATGATTACAAATACAAGACTTCAATATCGGTAAGACAACAAATCTGATTAACTATTGCGGAAGCAAAGCACAGAACATTCTTAATGATTTACTATTCAGTGAGCTCTACAAATATTGATGTGCTCTACTCCTGAGCATGTGAATCGAACTCTCAAACTTAACAATTAACTACCCCCACACTCGGACCACGGGCCGCTTGGGTTTACTCCCTGTAAGTATCGAAAACACAGTGTACTCTTATTCACAGTGAGGGATTGGCGTATTCTGAGCCACTGAGTTCAGTGGGAGTGTTAACATACACCAAAACGCTTAGCATGCACTACTTGGTTGAATCGACGTGGCAACCTATGCTGCGAATACGCCAGTGTCGCCGAAGAGCCCTGGGCGTTATATCCACCGCGCCTTAGAAGAACTCCGGATCTTCTTACTACCAAAAATACGCATGCTGGGGTATAGCACTACCATTGTCCCGTGTGCCGATCATGGATTCTACAATAACGCTATGTGGCAAAACACCCGGACCAGTTACACCCCTGGAAGTGTAGTAAAGACCTAGTCATTCTGAAACCGTGCTACCAGATTATGTCCACCCTATTCACCCTCCCCTCCCTTATTCAATCGCCTACCCACTATATATACATACGCTCAGCAGTCGAAAGTTGTTTGCGGAAGGAGGGGGGCGAGTGCACGCGTTTGTGTATACATACAGGACGCAACAACTCGCAACCGTAGCAACGGCGTCCACCGGATATCAGCAAAGCACCAAAGCTTTACTTGAACTCTCACTCAATTGCCCCGACACATCCGCAGTATCACATATTTTACAAGCACAACCCCAAACATATCCACATCAGCAGAGATTGCGGTTTATTCAATGCATCGACGACATGCTCGTCACCTCCGGGCTCTGCAGCAGCTCCACAACCTTATCATGACCACCCACAACCGCAATATCCACCGGCAACAGTCCATCGGCCGCCCGCCGCATGTTCACATCTGCGCCCAGCCACAGCAGCATTTGCACAGCGATGAGACACCCTTTCGCACACGCCAGGTGGAACGTTGTGCCAGACTCCGGGCTCTCCTCGGACATAGGGGTTTTGAGCACCTCGATTGAACGCCTACCTGCGCCGACCATAGACACGGTAGCGGCATACATCCGGTTCATATTGTCACTGTTTACGCACTCGACAAGCTCTTGTACATCTTCTTGTTGGGTGCGCTCGACCGTATCGGTTAAGAACTTTTTCTCGATGTACTTAGCCCTTATAAAGGCCTCCCTGGTTTGCCTGTCAGACCGGGGGGTGGGCACAACCACGTCAATCCCCTCCGCCCCCCCCTTGTTGACCCTGCTTTCCCACTGAGCCTTAGAATTTTTGTTGCCAATCACCTTCATCAACTCCACCACACTCGCACTCCAGTCGTCGAGCGCCAGCGATCTAACCCGCGACACGTGTACACCCAGATTGCGATGTATACCAGAACACTCGATGCAGATCAAGATGCCCAGATTAATACTCGCCCACTCGGGATTGAGTGTACCACACTCTGCGCACACATCATTCCCAGCTACCTGGTGGATCGCATCAATCGCTGCATCCAACTCAGCGCCCGTGACTCCACTCCGCTTGGCCGATATGTTGCCAGTTAGACCTTCCAGAATCTGGTCTTGCAGTATCTGCATCCACTCGTGCTTTTCGCTGACGCTCTGGCACATGAACGTCCAGCTCTTGCCCTCCAGCGATACAATGCGTATCCCCAGAGAGGGGTCGTACTGTGACACCCCGCTGTGTTGGCGCATAGTGGCGGGATCGTTTGCAAATGTGGGTGTCATATTCGTCGATACACCTCCAGAACCTCCAGGCGATTCTCCAGTCTCGCCAGCTGCGCTCAGTGCATTGAGGCCCTCAGCAGCGTCGTGCACGCTACCTTTGCGTTTGAACTGTGTGCGTGCACGCCGTTTGCCCTGGCTGATCATCCCGGAGCCCTGGTTATTCATTTTGGACTGCTTGCCACCGTCTTTGTCTTTATCCTTATCCTTGTCCTTGCCGTCCTTCTTTATGCTTGTGGTGCTTGTGGTAGTCGAGTCAGGGACAAACGAGATGTTCTGGTCGGATCCGGTCGGCGTCTGCGTGGTAGAATGCGAATAAGACCGTGCATGTGACGAAACGTTTGTGCCAGCCCTCCCGTCGACATGTTCCACACCGGAGTCAATGCCACTCGTATTCCCGCCGTCATACGATTCGCTCCGCATCACCCCATCCTTCATCACCTCCTCAAACGGTGCGTTTGTGACTATGGGCGCTGTGGCGGCGCATTTGCTGCTCGTATGCGCATTGCCTGCGTATGCCTGCTGGTCCGTCTTCTTCCTGGTCGCCGTGCCCGAGGTCGGACCAATTGAGCTGTGTTTGAACCCCTTCTGCAGGGCATTCCCATTGGCCACCACCATATCACTATTCAGCAGCGTGGTACCCGGTGTGACTGTGCTCTGTGAGCGCGTATGCTTTTCCTTTGTCATGCCGGGTATCACCCCAAAGGCGTTCTCGTCCGCTTCGTGCAGTGTTTCTGTAGTAGCAGGCATAAGACCGGTAGCATCCAGACTCAGTCCGAGACTCTTGCTGCTAACTGTGGCAGCCGGTGGGTCTGTTTTGGCAGTAGGCGAATACGGGGCGGTGTTGGCCGGGGGGGGTGGCGGTGCTCTGCGAGTGGCGGGTGTCATGGCCAGAGGCTTCACGGAGCAGTGCTTGAGATCAATGACCTTGGAGCTCTCGTCGTTGTAGTAGTCGAGCACGGAGGAGTAGTACAGCAACAGCCCCTTACCCACCACACAGTACTTCTTACGCCACTCTTTGACCACGTTGTCGCCCTGTTTAAACAGCCACCCTTGCTTGGCTGGGATGGTTCGATGGGGTCGCGGTAGATTGCGCGTGAGCATGTTTGCATTGCCCCCGCCCTTTTTATCTTTGTTCTGCCCCCCCATCACTTTGAACTTGTCGCGTTTGGTTTTGGTCGCAGCTTGTGCCTGTGTGAGCGATACAAGAATTTAGATTAGCAGTCACATGCAGAGACACGTACGATGTCCTCTTAAAAAAGCCCTCCTTATTTCAGACCGAACTAAATACCTCTAATTACCCAGTTCACAACCCAGCAAGCAAGTTCGAATAAATATAGCAATGCATAGAAGCAAGATACAGCCGGCGTCTCGGTATATAACTGACCTGCAACTCTTTGCCCTTCTGTGCCGCTCGTACGGCCTCCTGGAAGACCATGCTTACATGGTATCCGGTTCGAGCACTCGTCTCTATGTATGGAATCTGGTTCATGTCGTGAGCGAGACGTTTGCCCTCGACCATTGGAATGGCACGTTGAGTGCCCGGATCATTTGCGTCTTGTGAATCGTCTGCTTGCGTTCCGACCAGTAGCATTTTAGCGTCTTCTTTGTAATGATGTACCCGTTGATAGATGCTGGCGGCCTTTTGGTTGAGAGACAAGGTGATAATGGTTGTGTATGAAAAGGCAGCGACTCACAAGTATGTATGCTGCATCCTTATCCACATGCGCTATGCTCTATTTGACGAGAACACTACTCGCCTTACGCAGTCAGTGTGGGCGAAATCATCAGATATAATGACGGGTGATGACAATAACACGGCACATAACAGATTTTCGATACGTGACTTCATTCCTCAGCACAATCGAAGTCAAACCTTATCAAAGGATTCTTTGCTCTTCACGGTGAAAACCAGAATGACGGCCTCAGCCCATGACACCACCTGCGGTGAGGGGAACCCATTGTGTACCGCAACGGCCAGTTTGATTGGCTTGTTGTTTAACACGACCTTCTCCTCCATCTTTTCACCACTCAGAGGTCGCAATTCGTTGTTGACACGATCTCTGGATAAGTGTCAGCAAATTAAGCAAACTAGTCAGAAGTCACATCGCTGATAGTGTACCATACCTTGTTGGCAGACTGAAACGCATAGTGTTATATAATATGTAGATGAACCCTGCACTATGTGGAGTACTTCAGGCGTATTAGACAACAGATCTCCATAAAAAACTCAGTTCGATACCATGTAGAATTCGCGTCGGCAATAGAGCGGCGGAACAGCACTGGACAGGATTGATATACGATGTGATACGTGCTGTTATATAGTCTATCACACACTAATGTCCGCATCATGTGGGTTAACGCAGCACCCTGCCATTGCGCATGAATAACTTTTGTATGGGCTGTAATTGCTCAAATGTAGCAGCGCAAATATTGAATCTGTAATAATGTGATCTACTGTCTGAATGGCAATTCCATGTAAACAGCACTTTTCGGCTCTAATTTCAGCAATGCCAGCCTAAATCTATACCTGCGCACCCATGATACCCGAGATTTCCACACACATCCACACTATGCAAATACTCACATGCATACCCCCAAAATAATCCACGAAATCGCCCATAGATACACCAGTATCTGTCCTGCCCTGGACCAAATACTGCGCTGATTAGCTAAAGACAAAACTTAGAACATCCTGGTTCTGCCTTATTGAGTTTTGCATATAGCCGGTATATCTACAGATACACGATACTTACCCCAAATCTGTACAGAAGTCCCCATGCACTAGCCGGCGCACCAATGACAGCTTACCAGTCCGCCCACTCCCGATGATTAGAAGTTTAAAATCCGGATTAAACATCTCTTCCTTTCGGTTGAAAACCACCGCCTCAACCGCGTCCAACCGTTTCATAACACACGAACGACCATAACCATCTACTATTCGTTCAGTGATTTCTGCTTTAAGTTTTTCGAATGCCTTCCGTATAGCGTCCATGCGCTCCATCTCGGCACGGATGCCATCGATGTCTAAAGTAGCCATCGTGACGGGCGGGTATAGCTGTATGCGATTAAGAAAGAATCCGATTGTCAGTACGAGCTTTCAAACAATAGCATATCTTAGTAGCTGAGATTCATCCTGGTCTGAGTACTTCCGATCGGAAAACGAAGCTCAATTAAAGCTGGGTGTGAATGATGAATAGTTTCTAGCATATAGCAAAACACATCTATGCAAATCAGCAATGATAAATGTTTACCACACGAAACATACAACACGGCTCGATTGACCGTGCAGATACATCTGGTTATCATTTTTGGTTATTTAAAAACATCAAAATAGGCTGACATAGTGTTTCATCACTAACAATTAACCTGCCTATTCGACTCGAAATTTTGCATAGTGGGGATAGTCATGACGACAGCCACCAATAAACGTTATCGAATTCCTAAATTCCAGAACAGAGTCAAAATAATTTGAACTGAACAAGAGGACAACACGATTATAAGACGAAATCTATGAAAGCAGTGCAACAGTCATTTTACAGAGACGGCAATTTGCTCATTGATCTTGCATGAAACATTTGTACTATATATATATATATATATATATATATATATTATATATATACTACACTATATATATATATAT